TGACAAATGTTGAGCCATAATTTGTTTGAGTCAATTCTCTTTTTAATTCGGATAGATTTTATGGCACTGATTTCAAACATGTTCTCAGTTGGCGCAGATTGAGTATTTGTAAAATTATGTTTTTTGGCACACTTATTTGGTTTTAAAAAATACAGTTATATATATTTCATTTTCAAAATCTAATTCTACTATGACGTCAATTACCTGTGTAAAATTTGGTATCATTTAATCAAATTTTGTCACTGTTATGAATGTCTAAATAAGAATTTTTCAATAATTTTTTAAAAAGTATAAAAGTTGAATTTTTTGCTATAACTTTTCTTTGATTAAAGTTTAGGTAATAATTGTTAATTCTTTATAGAGTGCCTAGTAAGTAAGAAAACGGGCTACTATTCTTCTCATTGTTTGTAACAACTAACTTGATTCCTTATTTACTGAACACTCTGTATATAGAAAATGTTTAATATTTCAAAAACACTTATATAAAGTTACCTGAATCATTTTTAGTGAATATAATTGCCATTAAAAGGAAAAAATAAGAAACACGAAAAAATTCTAATTATTGCTATATTTTTTTATTATATTACATTATAACTGTTAAAATTTACCAAAAACGTGTTAATATTTTTAAGTCAAATACGAAATAATGAAAAGCAAGTTAAAAAAAAATATAATTAAAATGTATAAATGATTCACATTGATTTTTAATAATGAATGGTCAGTCTTATTTTTCCTATGGAAATCAGTTTTTTTGTTGGTATAAACTTGTTAACTATAATCATCTTTTCTATTATTATTCACAAAAAAGTCATTTACACCTAAAAAGTTTTTTTCTTGAAAATATATTCTATTACAAATCTAATATATATTTTTAATTTGTAACTCTATAAAGTGTACTGATAGACTTATACACTTATTTTGATAATATTACCTTTAAAAATGTAAACACACATACAACATAAAGTGATGTTCAAAATAATAGCAGCCCGCTATGTGATAATGATGAAGTCGACATGAACTACACAACAGAATTAATATAAATGTTAAGCTATGCAACCGTTTTTAATACGAAAATGAAATAATTCAACAGGTAATTTTTGTTTTGTTTTTCTCTTGTAATATTATGTATTCATGATCGTAGATGTACACGATGACGAGTCGTTAGAGGTTTCATAGAAAAGTAAAACAATTTGATTATTTCAAGTGTACATATTTTGGTAGGACGAAAAGTGAAACGTCAAAAGAACAAACCATTCAATAAAAAACTCAGGTGAAACAGCCATAGACAATAAAGAATGGATAGACCCTTCGCATATATTTAACATTAAGTACCGCCGTCCTAGAGAGCAGATATATCTCTGTCTCACAAAGATGCTTAATACTACAATGGCTAATGCAAAAATGTGAGGTCGTAACCATAAATATTATTATCCGTATTATAATGTGAATTATTAAGAAATTAAAATTATTTATCAAATTTGTTTACTGAATAAATAATAAAAAAAGACCACGTGATCGTGTGATAAGTTGATATAGCCTTTATATTTTTAATCATACAGAATGTTCAGCAAGTTAGGACACAGATCAGTTGTTACAAACGATGAGGAAAACATAAACTCGTTTCCTTACTTACTAAACACCTTATATATGAAATTAACGGATTCTATTGATTGTTAAATTAACTGTGCAATAGAATTTGTTTTCTTATTTTATTAAAACCTTCTAATTGTATTGTTGTCATTCAAATGTTATTAATGCAAGTGCATTTTATCGACTAGTGTTATCCATTTCATAAGTTATATTGGATTGTAATAGAAAGTAAAATTTAATAATACATTTAAAGGAAATATATTTATTTATTACATTAAATGATATTGAAGAATAATATATCTTTGTTTCTTATTATTCTTTTAAAACTTTCATTTACTTTGTACTATAAACATCATATTTTTTAGAACAAAAAAAATATATATACTACATGTATCAATTTGATGTTTCTGTGATAAGGATAAAGTCAACTTTATACTATGTGAAATAAAAATAATAATTTCCAAATAAAGCAAAATATATTTGCCCTAAGCCACATGTATTTCTCATATCTATTCCTATAACAGATATGATCATTTGGAAAGTTTAAGAATATCATTTATAATTTCTTATTAAATTAATGTGTTTCATATATATAAATTGTTATTTTTTTTAAATACTCTTCTATGAGAAGTGAAAATGATAAGGAATAAAAAATATCGACATTTTTTAAACAATAGTATTTATAGAATATTGGTTTATATATATTAAAGAACGGTTGTTATAAAAAACAATTTTGATTAGTTTATCGTTACTAAAAAAAAACTAGCACTTTTATTAATTTCTCAAACAAATGAATAAATTAATAATTATAATAAAAATTCTTATCACAATAGTTGTAATATAACAACAATTATGTAGTAATTGTATAAAGGTGAAATTAACAAAATATAAATACATTTTAATATAAAATATATTTTCCAAAAATTGTTAAGTATAAATCTCATTAGTATAAAAAAAATATGTTATATTTTCTTACGGGCAGATTATGTTTGTTCCTTCTTAACTTTATTAAACTAAAACAAGACCAATTATCTAATTACTGGAATCATTTGAATGGCAATAACTAAATTCATCATTACAAACTTCAAAGGTAATTTTAATAAAATTTAAATACGTCAATAACGATAATATTATATGTCTTCATTGTGTCTGTAATGCCATTACAGATGCTCGCTTTATACAAGTTCTATTTACATACAGTTATGACACGTGTCTGGTGTATTATGATAATAGTATTGTTCAATACATTTTATATAGAAAATATCATTCTTTGAAGCTATTATAATACATATCTGTTAATAAGTGTAGTTTTACGTAGAAAATTTCCACCATTATTGTAACAAATGTACGAAAGTAATTGTCCAACTTTTATGGTTAATTGGAAGTCGTCAATTAAAAAAATATTTACGGTTACACAAACATAAAAGCAGGCTGGTGTTGCTATGATATTGCTATATCAAAGTATTGACAATAAAAAAACTAATCGCATAATGTAGCTAAATATAACATTGTCAATAAAAATACCACGTGTTATTAATAATAACACACATTTTATGATAATCCTATTTCACATTTTTGTTAGATGATTGTAGTGTAAAAAATTATGCACACGTATGCAATGCGAAACACATTATAAAGTACTTTCGGATATTTTAACCAGTGTTTTATTTGGAAATATTCGCTTGTGTATTATTATTATTATTTTTTATATGACTTCATGGGTCAAATATCAAATACACGTAATTACAAAGTGCACTGCCGTTTTCACGCGTGGGATTTCATAAAATATCAATGACTTTAATAGTTTTATATCTATTGCTCAGCGATGGTTGTGGTGCGGTTTCTTGCTCACGGTCGTCTACCCTTACTATATAATTTAGACCGTATTTTATTGTCCGGAAAACAAGCCGTTTTCCGAAGTTACACCCCTCGGCGTTTTATTTTTTTTTATGATTATTATTAAAGTTAAATTCTTTTTCTCTTGAATCACAGAAAAAAAATTCGAGAATAAACTTTATCAAAGTTTCTAGCTTTATTTTCTGATCAAAAATAAAATATTTTTATTTATACATACGAAACCTATATATCAATTAGTTTAACTATTATTTTGCGAAAATCATAACTAATATATGAGCGACTTTAATTTAGTATCTTCAATTCACCATAAATATTTTCGTGATAACTAACCATGAAATTGTTTTAATTATAAAATAAATTATAACATGACATGCTTATAATTTACTTTTTTGTATGTATACAGAGTAGTCAGCTAACTTTGTTCCATGCAATATATTTAAAAATACTATATATGACATATAATTGTTTTCTTTTCAGAAGTTATTCGTATTAGATTAATTTATTTTAACACAAACAAAATAATCTAACCCTCCTACTTCCCCTTAGTATCATTTTTAGTTTTTTTAAACGGAAACATGCATGTTTTTCTAACTTACAAATAAGGAAATTGTGAAACTAAGAAAATAACTTGTCGATAACAACTTATGAACAAGAATTTTGTAAATTATTAACATTTTTACACCAGAGTTAAACGAAAATTGCAATTTATAAATTATTAGACATAAAAATAAACAGACCAGTGCTTCAACTCTAGTATATTTATTTAAGTATTCATTTTCAAAATACTAGTTCAAAATTTGTAATCGACCAGTAATTTTCTTATTTGTAATCAATTAAAAATGCGTATTTCCATTTAAAAAATAAAGATGATTTAATTTTAAGGGTGATATTTTTTTGTGTTAATTTGAGTGCGTAGGACACGAATAATTTCTGAATAGAAAAAAATTAACTATTATCAAATGCTCATAAAAAAACTAAGACTTATATTATAGTGTGCTTGTAATTATTCAAGTTAATGAATACTTTTTGTTATAAATAAAATGCCTTTCAAGTCAGAAAATTGATAATATAACAATATATTCTGTAGTTATTTTCCAAAATCTAATATATAAATTTTAGTAATGTTTTAAGAGAACAAAAACAATTATAACATCAATGCCATATTATACTATTTTTATATTACTAAACATAAACCTTCCCAACAAAATTAATTTCTAATTGTTTAGGAAATGATAATTATCATCCTCCTTCTACAAATTATAAAAAATAACTCAAAATCCCAGTTTTGTGACATATCAGTTTTTAGATATAAGCTACAAAAAATGAATATTAGACATATACCAAATAAGTAGGTAAATCTTTTTTGGCAATTGTCACTTTGTAATACATTAACATCAATAATCCTAAAATCGAAACTTTGTGACTTATAATCTTTTAGATACAAGACACAAAATTTAATCAACATAATAAAAATATCATGTTTAGTTTTAAACATTATTTTTGTAATAAATCATGTGTGTATTTTTTTAATCAATAATGTAAACGTTTTATAGGTAAAGCAATCAGCACTCAATCACTTCCTGTCATAAAGGAGAATTTAAATTTATAAGTAAGGTAATTTTTTATTATTCAGTTATTTGTTGTTTATTATAGACTTAACTATATTTTTAATTAAATTTTATGAGATAAAAATTAATTACTCATCGATTGATTTTGTAATAATTCTACTCGTGTACATGGTTAATTTTGAAATTTCTGTAATAAAATTATAAATAAAAATTTATCTCGACAAAATAAATTATTCTTAAATTTTACTCGAAACATTGCAATAGATTAAATTAAAAAAAAAAAACTTAATTTATCTGCTCTCGTTTACATTTTTAACACATTGTAATATTGAAGAATACTTGAAATTAACTCTGTTTTATTAAAAACATTATTTAAATTTTTAAAACTTTTAAAAAACTAATTTATAAATTTAAACATTTATCTATCATTAAACATAATTGGTACTGTATGATTTGAATAGTATTTATTAAAAAAAAAAAAAACACGGATCATTAATATCTCCATTGTTTTGCAAAAATGCATAAGCATACATTCAATAATGTCAGAAGGTACTTAATATTCTCATTTTTCTACAGTTTTATATTTGTTTAAATAAATGAACAAAATAAAATAATCAAACTTGATAAATAAATGTAATAGTTTTAACACTCCTAATATTTAGACTGCATTTGTTGCTATCAGTGGCGGTCAAATGGCAGGAGATAAGAGGAATGAATCTCCCTATTGACATACTTTTTTTGAAATTTTTGTAAAATTTTAATTATATAATATTTAAAATATTTTTTGGTTTTTATATTTTGGAAACTTTATTTATGATAATTCAATTTAAAATTTATTAATCTAAATCATTTGACCGCCACTGATGGCTATATAAAGAAATAAAATTATTACAACTTATTAAATAATAACTGATGGATATAAACGATGAAACATCATAAAATAATCATAAAAAATTCTAAAACGAGAATACTTCAATCGAATGTAAAAAAAAAATTAACTTTTTCATTACAAATTTTAAGTTAGATAGTTCATCAATTTTTTATATGCCATATTAATATACGGATGAATGAATATTTTTTTTTATCGCACTTATTAATAATGTAAGTTACGTTTTTAGGACTATAACAAAGAGCCGTGTTATAAAACTGAACTCAATTATTTCAGAGTATATGAAAAAAATGTATGATTATTATATTTAACCATTCTTTTTTCGAACTCTAAAAAGCTAAAATATATACACATACATATTCAGTAAATTTTCAAATCTTATGTTTATTTAAAGTTTCAATTCAAAATTGAAAAGTTTTGCATTTATGGTTTTTGCACTAGACTTATTTTTGTCTAATGAATTTTACCTTATTTGTGTTTGAATAATTGTAAACAACACTATTGTTGTTACATAATTTATATTATATTTCTTATAAATGTCTTTATGTGTACACTTTAATGAGTAGTCAATCCTATATTTATATTTATTGGATTATGTATCAAATATAACATTATATTTGATGATATTCTTTTTTTTAGTGCATACTGTAAATTTATACTTCATATGTGTTAAACATCATATCTGGGATACGCATTAGTAATAGAAAAACAGCGATAAAAAAGATTTGAATTTTTTTTTATCGTACAATTAAAAAGGTAGAAAAAGTAATTTGAAAAGTTGGGGCGTTAGGAAAATATCATGTAAGTTTTAGCTGTTGTTTAATCCACCTTAATTGGAACAACGGTACGCTGGACTCAATAAATAACACGAAAAAGTCTCGACAGCTGAATGTAACTTAAGGCCTCATTTTCTGTAATGGGAAAAAGTTTTAGTTCTCCGTCTAATCCAAAAGCGTTGTTATGAAAAACAACATAAAATCTTAACGTTTTGTAGGCAGTTGAACGACTATAGTGAAGGAACAGTTTTGGAATTACAGTGGTTTGAGATGATATATTGTTGAAATGTTTTGCATGCACATATAAACACATTATATATTGCTATTGGAAATACTCAGTGTCTCCAAATACGGGTAAGTTTATTCATGTTCTTCAATTAACTTCCAGCGATTATTTAAAACACTTTTACGTTTACAAAAAGATCATTTTTTCTAACATACGTTCTGTATATGCTAATACTATTTAATATAATTAATACTAAATAAAAATATCCATAGTTTGTTCAATCAATCACCTGTATTATAGTATATTGCACTATTATTGACACACATTTATTTAATAAACTAAGAAAGTTTAAAGTGTGTAATCTTTATAATTATTATATAGTTTACAATATAAAATTTAATTATCTGACGCCCTTGTGTCAATTACTACTACTTTCTTCTATTAAGTAAAAAATATCGTTTAACATTATTAAAAGCAGCAACATTACCTTATATAAAGATTTTAGTAAGAGATTTTATTATTTTAGCTTCAACTAATCCTTATTTATACAACTACAGTTAATTCAAATTGAAATCGTCCTCATTCTAAAAATATGATTTTGGTAACTGTATCTTATCATTTTTATAATCAAATTTATCAAAATGAAGATGGTAAAAATATTTCTATAAAGATTAAATGTATAATGATTAAAAGATTAAATTAATGAATATTTCCATATAAAATAAAAACGAATTATCATACAATGCTTCATAAAAGATCTACTAAATATTTTTTATAAAATAATTATCTACAAAATTTCTGCTAGTAATATAACAATCATTATTGTTAAAAAGAGTTTTTTTCACTCTGAAAAATTGTTTTCAGGCACTAAACAAAATAAATTAAACTTGAGTTATATAATTAATATAAAGAAATTCAACTTGTATTCTTTAAAAACATATTGTAACACTGTTATATAACTTTATATATATTTTCCTAACTTTTCACAAGAGCGTATGTTTTGAGTATGTCTAAATATATAGTTGTTATACGTAATCTATTCTTGTTATGAATTATAGTAGGTATTAATGTGTATTTATATACACTAAGTTTTTTCATGAAAGTTGTCATACTTACTTGACATTTTTATGTATATGCGAACAATGTTGTATAAAATGGAATTTTTTGTCCATGTATAATTAGACAAACGATGAACGGATAACAACTTTTGAAAAAGTCTCCGTAGAAAAAAATCCGTGACCTCAATAAAGATACTCGCTTAAAAATGATCATACTTGTTTTAACTTTTTTATTTATAAAAAAGTAACATAAAAAATTTACAATTTCCGAGAACGTGACATATTATTAGTTGTAACAAGTTTGTGTTCCAATTTTAAAGAACTTCCATGTAAGAGTTCCAGAGGAGTAAACGTATTATGTTCTCAGTACTATTATTGATAAAAATGTCAAAAAATGTAATTTTAATATCGAAAATATTAGCTATTAAGTATTGAAAAAATATTATCTATAAAATGAATTGAAGTTCGGTATATAAAATTGTAATATTTTTACATTTAGTTCAAGAATACTCTTTTAATTAATTTTTCATAATTAGTTTTTATCGATACAAAAAGAAATAAAACTTGTGTGGTTACAATTTGTGTAAAATTCTAAAGTGAATATATGTGTTTTCGATTGACAAATTAAATTTTTAAAAATATTGATATAATTATGAGAATCAATAATTTTGCACGATATAAACAAATGTTTGTACCTAACACAAACCAACACCGTGTTATTAGTTAAGTTAAACAAATAAATAAATCACTATTTAAAAAATTCTCCTGAAAATAATTCTTGAGAATCAAAGTTCAATATTACAATTTTAATGGCTTATGATGTCAATCTCCATGACGTGGCGTAAAAGTATTTTATCTCGGCTGCTTAAGTATCACTTTTAAAAGAATTCATTTATAAAATGCAAGTTTGAGATTATTTGTCTATTATAAAATGACTTGCCGAATTTGAAAATCTTTAAAGGGGAGCAACGACGTTCACAAACATTGAGCAAGTTCTATACACTAACGGTTTTATGCATTTGAGTAACTATGAAGTATTCATAATTAAAATATATTTCAGTGGAAAATATGTTCAATCGATGTTAAAATGACAATTTGTAAAGAAACGTCAAAAACACATAATGTAGTCTCACGAAATAAAATATACTTGAAGGCAATTAGTGACACCACTGTCATACAAAAAAACTTATGAAAAAGCAAAACCCCTAGAATATTATTGAGGGTTTATTTGTATAGATATGCTATAAGAATAGAAAAAAAACCCTTCAATAATAATAATTTATGTAAAGCATTGTACGATGAACACTATACGAGAATGAACTCATAGGAGTAATTAAGAAGGGTAGATAGGTGATAGAAGGATGTTGAATAATAATTAAAACACCCGACATTTTTCTTCTTTGTCATTTGTAAGATATGAGGCAAATTGTTGGAGAGATCTTTATCAAGATACCATTATTATTATTATTTTTCACATATTTTTCTTTCTTTTTAATCAGCACTTTCAACACGTAATGCTAAAATATATTTCTGGCATAACGATTATTGTCTTGTCTGTATATATACATATACTCATGCACGTGAGCATAGTATTTTAATATCACAGGCCGTTGTTCTCTGTATTAAATGGTTATGGCATGAAGAGCGACATTGCGGTTTGTCAACGGTGGTATTTTTTGCAAATAAATATGTTAATGAGAGACGTTCTGCTTTCAGATCTAACTAGATGTTGAGTCACGTGTATCACAGGCATAAAAGGATTGAAAAGGGCGAAGATGAACGAAATAAATTCCTTACGAGAAATTATTAAATTTATAGGTCACCGAAAAATGATCAAATATTTTCAAATACATTTTTTTAATCAGCGTTTCAGAAAAAAACTATTTTACATGGAGATTAAATCCTTCAATATATACATATAGTATTTTCTAATGTTTATATTAACATAGATAATTTAAATTTCGTATATTATTTTTTTTCAATAAAAATTTTACATAATATAATTTCCTATATTTACTATACAATGCAATTCACAATGAAATGATTTATTCAATTTTTCGTTAATTTATTTTCTAAACAATTTTTATACTTTAAGACCACAAAAATATTATTACACATTAGATTTTCAAGTGAACAACTTGAATAGTAATATTAAAATAGATTGTTATCTTTGTGTTATCTTGAATTTTTTTTTAACCTATTGAAAAAAATTAAATTTTTTAAAATTAAAAATAAAATAAAAATTTAAAATAACACAAAGATAGCAACCTACTTTAACATTATTATTCAGGTTAGTCACAGTTCTGTAGAGTAGATTAAAAAAAAAATTGTTTACATACATTTTTGAAATAAGTTATAATTATATAATTATAATTTGGATGTATTCAATAATTTAGCACTGTCAGCAGTATGAAAACCTATACTCAACTTAATTTTTAATATGAATATTTATCTATTACTTAGAATTAGTAATACTTTATAGGTATTAAATTTAACTAATAAATATGTTATGATTATTATAGTAATTTATGTCATAATGATTTATAAATGAAACTCATTAAACGGTAACATATGAAAAAATATGGTTAATATAATTATAAATTGATTGTATTTTTATAAATTGTATATTACAAAATTTATAATTTCGCATTTCAGTGCGCTGGAGTCTCAGACGACGTTTGGATTGGGTGTATTTATAACTAAATATTGACTGGTAACATTTTCATTAATCGTAAGCTTATTAAATATTGTACAAACTTGAGAAAATAAACATACATTGTGGTCAAAAATAATTAAATTATAGATTCCGAATACAAGAGAAAAAAATTCAACGTATTCAAAAACTATTTATCTCAAAAATATTGTTGGAGCATATTCGACGTACTCATAAATTAAAGAATAAAACGTTTTTAATTTCAATTACAGGCCCTCATTTAAGCAATGATAATTTTCATAGAAAAAATTTCAAGGCTGTTATAAATATTTAGCGTAAAGAGAATGCGGTTTTTTTACTGTCCTAAAATACATATTTTAATGTTATGTACCCTAAAATATACACAAGAAATTCAATTTTTTACAAGTTACTTATAAAATTTTACTTTAAAATCTACTGCGAATTTATTACTGAAAATAAGATAAAATTTTATCATAGTTTATTTTTAAATATACTCTACTAAATTAATATTCACCCGTATAGTAAAATTAAAATAGATTGTTATTATATTTATGTTAAAAATGAATATGATATTATAATAGTCGCATGTTTAACGAAAAATACCACTGTACTAGAAAAATTCTAAGGATTACTAATCATTTGTCATGTACCTGAGATTTTACATTGCGAAATAATGATATTCCTCTTCATATTTTGATATAAACCTATGTAATATTGCATATATATTTTTATTTTTTTATCTATCTGTCACAAGTATAATGGTTCTTTACTTGTCTCGAGAGCTGATGACCTCAATGTTATATTATTATTATTATTATTATACAAACTAGCACTGCTGAAACTATTAACCGCCAACGGTGATTTTGATCTCCCTTGAGTAATAAGAGGTAAAAAACAATTTACATGAAAAACATATTCAAAAGTAGGATAACCACTTTGTAATGGAATTTGAAAAATGAGTAATATTTGACTATATTTTAGAAAAATATACGTGTTTTATACAACTCATAAATTTAAAAAGTTAAAATACGATTTAATTTAAATTATATTTTCTTTGTACATTTAATCATATATATAATGTTATTATTTTAATTTTCGAAAAAAAATACTACCAAATAATTTATAATTCATTAGAAAAATTATCAAGAACCGTCTTTTTAAAAAATATAATAAATGATTCTAAAAAAACTCAAGTTTCAAATGAAACTTTAATTTCAGTTATAAAATGAATAGCCTATTTAAAAAATATTTTACGTATTCTTTTAATTAATACTAAAAATTTGAAATGATTGTTTAAGTATCAAGTTCGAATGTTTGAAATTCAAATTCTGAAGTATTTGACTTTAATACACTAGTCTAAAGGTAATTAAGTTTACATCTTACTAAAAAATTGAAA